TGAAAACATTAAATATATAAATACATAAAATATATTTTAATAATTTAAAAATTAATTTTATTTTAATTTAAAATAATACTTCGGACCCCAACGGTTTCCGTTTCCTAGTATTATTTTAAAGTTTGTTAAATAATCTTTAATAATTATAAAAAAATATAAAACTCTTAAATAAAAAATCTTAAAAACATTGATTTTTGGATCACAAAGTTTTATAATATTGAATTTAAAATGAAATTATAACCTGTATACTGTATACTGTATATGTATATTAGTTTTTTTACTTTATATTATAATATAATATTCGATATCAATTCTTTTAATTTTTCTAAATTCAATAATATAATTTAAATAAATTCTTTAATTGAATATATATAAATATAATCCAAATATTTCATAGTATTGAAAAGTTTTTTTAAAAATTTAAGATAAAAAAATTTTTTATAAAGAATTTTTTGCAATTTCAATTACTAAGTTCAAGTATTAAATTATATTTTTATTAAAATAATGTAACAAATAGAATCGATGTTAATTACATTATATAATAATCATAGATCCTTAAAATTCCAAAATTTCTGCAGTTCTGTTATTTCTATAATTTAAAATAACTATTATAATAAAAATAGGTATAACAAAAATGGGTTTCTTTAAATTATTAATAGTTTCCAGCTTTTACAACAGAAAAAAAAAGTTTTTAAGAGGTAATTTTGTAATCGAGTATTAACTAGTGATAAAGCTTCCAATTAAAGTATAAGATAAGCAATCATGGAAATTAAGTTTTTTAATTATATTTGCAAGGTTTTGACCTCGGGGTTCAGAGAAAAGATGAGGAGTCACCCTATGGCCCAAACTTAATATCGTATAAGTAATGCGATTGATTCCGGGACGCTATTAAGACGAAAAAGAGTTTATGTTAGTCTATTTATACTTCATTAATTGACCCTTCGTGCACGGCTTTACCGCGAAACATGGATAAATCAGTTACTGGATATTTTTTCATGAGATCAGTAATTGATCTCTCGATTTTAGCACAATTTTAAGATTAGAAGAAAGGTTTCTTCCTACACTTCTTTTCGGAATATTGATTGTGCTTCGTATCAGCATCATTAATTATGAAAGCGTGTAAGTAATATCCATGCATTAATGTTCGCTTATGTTCATAAATAACCTTCTCAAAATACGACCAGAGGATTCAAGAGGCCACATTTTTGTCGAGTTCATATTCTGATAAGCGAGATAAAATTCGGTAATGTCATTGATTTCATGTCCACATTCTGTTTCGTCATCGTCTTCAGTTTGGTAATTAACAATGTTATTATTCGTGAATCGGGTGGATTTTCTTTTTCGGTTGAATCAAGAATTACAAAAATGATTAATAACTGTTTTAAATTAATTGAAATATACTGGTATTGATTAGTTACCTCCTCATCCAGTTCCGCCTGGATTTCATTCCCCAATTTTCTTTTTCGAAGCGATTTCCTAGGCAAAGCTCCGGTATTTACCGTTCCATCAGTGATCTAATTCTCTTTCCAATGTTGGATTGTTGAAGTGAACATTTACTTTGGCTGGTTTATCATGATTTTACTTCCAATCTCTCGCCAATTATTCTGGCCTCGGCTGGTCATCCTAGGAAAGAAGAATCATTAATAATATTTTTGACATGCCTCTGAATTTCCCATCTGATCTTTGTATCCCACTAGGTCGACTTAAAGTCTTGAACATCAGCCAATCTCAAGGATTTTCTGAGCCCCGGTGGAGCCAATGCCAGGTTGACTCAAGGTCTTGAACGTCAGCTTATCTTAAAGATTTTTTGCGCCCCAACATTAGCTTCGTAGCTGGTCTTAAAGACTTGAATAACACAAGGACAAGGACTCAAGGTCCCTCTGCTACGCCACTAAATTTCTTATGTATGGTTTTATCCCCCTTCAAAAAAAAATAAAATAAACTTGCCTTTTTTATGATTATCAAGCTCGTGCGCTCCGTTTGTCTTTCCGAGTATTTGCGATGGTCTTGAGAGACATAAGGTATATACATATTTTCTGCTTAGACCCTTCTATACCGCATTCTTCCAAAATATCCAAAAATATTCCGTTCCAAAAACTTATTTCTGAAAATTATTTTACGTGTTAATTTTGATTACAAAATGAAATACATTATGTTATAACACAGAGATTATCACCTACATTACTTTATTCACGTTTATAATATGAATGATTATATATACAAGCAATAAAAGTGAACGCAATTACATATAAGCATTTCAGGGATGCAAATGCCGAAGTGGTGAAATTTTATTAAATGTATGATGCTATTCAAAGAGGGAGTACGCGGATCCTAGGTCATTTAATGCGAGTCCCAGCATCAAATTATTTCTTGTTTTCTAACTATCACTATGTCTCATTATAACCAATAGGCAATTCTCATTACCTCCTATAAAATTCCTTAATTCTTAAGTTCGAACGAATATATTTACAAGAGAGATAAATTAAGCCACAGGATTACATGGGGAAACATAAGTTACTTTGCAAAGCAAATAACTATTAATATATGCTAATTAAAAAATGATCCGAATTTTATACGTTCTCTTCCGCTACTTAAATCTCTCATCATCATCGTCGTCGAAAAATGTTCCGCTGAAATTATATCATCTCCCTCATTATAAGAGAAATTTTCAAATAAGTCAGAATCTAAGGTAAAGATTTATTATATTCACTTATTATATCTTCTGAATTAAATGTAAAATATGATTCAGTAGGTATACTCCATTTTCGAGCTACTTAGATGGTTTGTTCATGTGATTTTTATTATCACTTGTTGAGTTTAACTCAACGTTTTTGGATTTTAGAATAGATTCTATCTTAATACTGTAGTCAAATGGTACGTTATATATGATATATTGAATCACCTTGTTTGAGATACTATCAGTAGAAAAGGAATGTATTCGATAAATTTTATTCTTACCTATTGCATTGAAAAGTTTATAGATCTTGTATTCTTTTCCATAAAGGTGCATCAGAAATATTTGCAGGGATCTGAGCACGAACGTCTTTATCTAAAATTCTACCAACTATATTAGATTCTGGATCAGCTTGTTCTTCTGATGTGATGCTATTTCATCACGTCTTTTAATTAGAGCTTCGCCGAAATTACACTAACACAAGATGGCTTCTTGGGTTTTACGGTTAACAAGAATTATAGCACCACAAAGTCATTACAATATTACTGGGTTAAAATTCTGTTTCATTCAGGGTTGGAATTATATTTTACTATTTGTATTATCATTATTAACTGAAACCCCTGAAATGAATTTGTCTACTTTGTTTTTATTATCGTAAAATAGTCGAAGATATGTCTTGAGATTTAAGCTTCTTTTCCCGATTTTTTTCTCTAATATTGTATCTAATTTATTCTTTATATAGGTTTATTTGATGATCGTGAATATGATATTCATATTGCTGAAGATTATTCTTCAATTGATTCAACAGTTACAGGAACAATGAAGATAAGAGGTTGTTGCGCAATTAAAGATTTGAATATGAAAAAATTTTCGTTAATTCTGTCGCTCAGGCTTTGAGTAAAATGAAATATTTAGAAAGTGGGAAAGATATAGATCAAATCAATAGATTTCTTTGCAGAAATATAATATTGTGACTTTTTATAAAAAGATCCCAGAAGATATAACTATAGATTTTGTAGAGATATGTATATTCTAAAAAGGAAATTCGAAGTGCATATAGCGTGCTGACTCAAGCTATGGATTTACTGGATAACTTACGTAATACTGTAAACATAAACTTGTAATAGAGAATGATCCACGAGAAAAAGCTTCTTGCGATCCGTTATTGCCAAAAAATATTGCGTTGGGAGAGATTTTATGAGGCATTGATTTTCTTCGGATATTTAAACATATTCCATATTATCTTGTAAAGATTTTGATGCTAGCCTATCAAGCTTCTTACCAAATTATAAGAAAATGAACGTTGTTATTATGCAACACTCGGTAAGAAATGGAAACGCATGCTAATTATAATCTAAATGAATTCAAGATGTCACTTGATAGAGAAAAAGACTAATAAACAACTTACGCACTGGGCTCTCTGGTCGAGAAGGTACTGCTCCCACCTCTGTTTGCGCATGATCGATGTTTTCGGAAATTTTCGAGAATCTTGGCTGGCACATTGGATGATGTGGGTACAATAGGTATGCTATGTTTACTTTGTAATTAATATTTCACAAATTAATAGATTTTTGTAAATAAAATAAAATTATTACTTTTGGATATTTATGTATTTTATCAATGTGCTATTTGAGAGAAAAATTTTAAAATAAATATTAATTCCAGAATCTAAAGTCGATACATGTTATTAGATAAAATATGTTGTTTTCATATATTCGCAGAACTGGTAAAGTTTGTGACCGGAGTGGTTTTAGATATGAAGGGTGTTAAGCTCACTGGAGCTCCTATATGCATTCAAATATGGTACTTGTGATATTCATGCTAGAAAACATCGAAAGAAGGAACAATAATAAAAAAAACCCGGAGAAGATGGTGCGAGGTAGATCTGAGGTAAGACCCAGTGATATATGCAATATATTCCTATTAATTGGAGGTCATATCCAAGTTTTTTTTAGGACGGAAGAAAGCATAGTTTGTGACGATTTCGACCCGATTAAAAGAGTTTTAGACTAGCCGTCATAGTTGTCAGAAATTTTCAATCTTACTTTCTCTTTTTTTTTTTTTTTCATTTATCGATGTACTGTATTCATATACTATATGTATCATACTGTATATCATATACAGTATAAGTATAAGTATATCACGGGTATGAGTTTTATATAACACTTTTTACTATAACAACTATGACGGATAAATAATAAATACAAAGAAACAAGATAAAAATATTTTAAAGCTTTTCTTCTATACCGGATCCGTCCCAGTTAAGATTATTTTTTTTTTACTACTGTAGGAATAAATATGCGACGGATTTTTTATTAGAAAGCAGCAGATCCATTTCGACTGCATTCTAGAATATCAATCATGAGATACGACTTGTTAAATACAATTAAAATGTGACTATTCAATAGGAAACATATATCTTGTTACTAGGGTCAAATAGGCCGATATGCTTTTGACATAAGGGATAACATTTTTTGATAATGTTTATGAGACACTGTATGTCAATAAAAAATACAACTAGTTAGATTTTTGATAGAATACGTACTGTATATCATGTATACAACATACTCGATAGCATATACCGGATAAAAGAATATATTATAATGTGTCCAGATAGCGTACCTAATAGCTCATGTAGATGACACTTGGCGCACCTCGACCATAGTTAAGATCACTTCTGTCATTCGAATTGTAGTTTCTGGAGGATTGTTGATTTCTGGAGAACCCGTCCTCGATGTCACTATCGGATTGTTGCTTGGTACGGAAGGATATGTTGTGGGGGTACTGGTATACCGGGTTGCATTAGGATCGAATAGGACAATGAAAGAGAGAGCCATCAAAAACACGTAGTATGCAATAAAGAAGTCAATATAGGTTATGATACGAAAAACGCAAAATATTATGCCCCTCATGAAATTCCAAACTAAATAATCACTCTGACGACAGAATATACTACTAGTAATATATATGACCACTATCATCTCTATGACATATGTCGCCCTAAATAGCTCTATACTTGTGCCACTGATAGCTGCTATCTGAAAGAACAATAGGTTTTAGTGGAGAACTCATTCCTTTTGTACGTGAAAAATTTACGATTTATGGTATGACCTTAAGTGCCATGTGAGAACATAAAAGTATGGCAACAATAATAAGATCCAATTTTCGAGGTTTGGTTTGATTAAGACGATGGGATAAGAATAATAGAAAGGCTAGAACCGTAAACCATTCAAAGGTTTCAGCCCAATATATAAGGTTTGACGTTGGGCCTATGTTTAAGTCCCAGTAAAAGAAAAGGGATGCGAGCATAGTTCCAAATAGTTGGAAAAGAGCTTTGAAGGCTTTCGTAAAGGGATTTTCTTCATTCTTGATCAGCGTTAAAATCAAATTTATGAAAAAAATCTGTATATGTCAATACAAATGGTATTTTACTTAGTGCCTAAAACCTCGATAGCTTAATATTTATATAACAATATACAAACGTTGCATGTAGGATATACATTACCACAACTAAAATTCCATCCAAAAGTTTCTCAAGTTCATAAATATCCATTAATAAGATGTTTGGTTTTATGTTCTCTTTTTTATTTCGTGTTGGGAAATTCTTTTAGCTCACAGGAAGCATAAAGTCTTAAGGCTCTCTTATTGTAGAGCAACACAATTCCGTTCTTTGTTTGTGTGACCTCATGAGCATGGTACCATCCAAACAAACTTTTTTGGGGAAAATTAATAAAAATAGGTTGTGTATCTTTGCAACTTATGAAAGAGTAATATTGCTATAAAGTTACAATACATTGACATAGAAGTATAGATGGGGTTTAATTGAAGTTATTGAAATAATAATTTTACGATAATCATAATTATTATTACTAACATGACCGAAATTATTATTGCAGATATATTAATATAGCATATAATCAGAAAAATTGTTTATTCTTATACAAAAATTTCTATTGCTATGATTATTGTAAGCTAATAATTGCATTAATATTGTATCAAAATTAGAATCGCCATGATCAATAATTTCTTGGCTTGTTACAACATTTGAATTATTTTCATGCAAATCATAATCTAAATTTTTTCAACACTTGTTAAACTAATAAAATTGTCATCTTCTAAATCAGTATTTTCTAAATCTTTGTCAAACATATTATTATAAAATATAATAATAGCGTCATAATTTTGCATTTTTTTCAAATTCATTATCATTTAATTTGTGTTCATTATTCCCATACATTTTCATGTCACATAATATGAATATAATTTCATCATATTTAATACCTTCTCAGCTGTTAGTCTTAAAAACAAAAGAAGTTAAATATTGTTAAAAAAAATAAATTAAAAAAATTTCTTTATCTATTTTGTCTTTTTTGTATCATTCAATTTAAAATAGAAAAAACTTTTTCACAATTATTATTGTATGTTAAAAGATATAACACAAGTTTTTGTAAATAATGTTTTGATTATTTGTATTCAATCCATTATATTTGTAGAGTTTCTATTTTTCTTCAAATTTCATATTATAAAGTAATTCATTACATTATAGTTGCACATTTATATGATTAAAATAAATACACTATTTGAATCACTTCTTAAAAATTTCAAAATTTACAGGTTTTTTTTAAAACTTTATGAAAGACTTCTGAAATCAAACCTTTGTCACAATATTCTAAATGTAGAAATTAAACTAGTTATTATTTATTGTAATATATAATGCATTGTTTTTTAGTTCAATACATTCAAAACCATCTTAAATTAAAGCCAAAAAAACATTAACCATAAATGTCAATATATATTTAATTATTTTGATTGCATTTTTTAACTAATAATATAATTTTTATTAAGAATAAAAAAATTTCTAATATTTGCTAAAGTATAGAACTTGAAATTTATAATACAGTATTTTAATTACTTTCAAGCATTTAATTAATAAAAAATCCACAAAAATACAATAAAGTTTTAAAAAAAATTTAAGACTTATATTTTTATTATATTTTTTAATTTAAATAAAAATGTACAATAATTGCAAAATATATTTTATTATATTTTTATAAAATAATTTATGAAATGTAAAACAATTATTTGATATTGTAATAAAGTTGTCTTTGCAAAACAATTTTTTTGATAATATCAATTCAAATTAATTAAATATAGTATATAATATATTGTAAAGTAAGTAAGTATAATATGATTTGAAATTTTTAAACCCACTTTTTCTCAAATGCTTCAAGTTTCCTTTTTAAGAAGGTGCAAACAAAATGTTTGCAAGAAAGATATCTAACAATTACAGGAGCCAAAAGACTCCAACAAACCCTCTCAACAGATCAAAATGAGCTTTAAATATAAAAAAAGAGCAGAAAAAGAGTTTATCCCTACCAGAATACAATCTTATGCAAATAAGCCCACAACAACACCCAGAAAAAAAAACCCAACAGCAGCAACGCCAACCACTTATAAAACATCCCAACAGCAGCAAACAACCCAATCAGAAAAAGAGACAAAATAACAAACATAAACAGAACAAAGTCAAAACCAACAAAACAGTCAAGAAACAACCAATAGCTTTTCTTTCTGGAGTGAAATTGTCAAAATACATTATAGCAGGGGAAGCATCCCAGCAGGTTACTAACACAGCCAAGAAACTGAAACTAGTATTGAAAACAGAAAAGAATCAAGAATTGATGACACTGATAAGAAACTGAAAACAAACTCTAAAATTGTAATAGAAAACAGATAACTTCCAATTTAAAACAAAGGCAAGAACAAAAAAATGACTAGAGACTTCAACAAATCCAGACTATTCTTATCTTTTGACAGAATTTAAAGATATGGCAGAGAATGCTTCAAAGTGGATATCCTAACAAGCCAAGTCAAAGGAAAAACAAGCCATCAAAAACTGGAACACATCCTATCAGCACTTAACTCTCCAAAAGGCCTTCTCACAGTATGTATAGAAGGAAAAAATGAAGAAATAAAATTGTTGCCATTTTTGAAGACCAACAAGCAGTATAACAAGCCACAACCATAATTATTTCCGATATAAGAGACAAAAGATTAGAGCATATAAAAACAAGATGCCAAGAGATTAATAAGGAAAACTTTATAATAGTGTAAAAATAAAATAAAATAATCAATAATAAAATATTTGTCCAACGTTAATAGAACCATAGATATGTAATTAACATGATGAAAGTAAGTAACGATAATAGAGGATTGTATGTGCCCCACAACGAATGACTATACTACGCCAACACATAATCGATCTACATTGAATGACACGAGATCCAATCCTGTTACAACTAGTTAATGTAATGACTGTGAGCAACGACAATGACATTGTGAGATTGCTTATTATCATATAATAGTGCTTAAAATCATCATTTTGTAACTAATATAGTTAGCTTAATATATTTTATGCAATGATAAGAAAATGTATAAATAAGTAAGAAAATGTAGTTAATAAAGGAGTGTGTGTACAAGAAGTGAGAAAGACTCAGCTGAATCGTGCACCTCAAATCACCATTTTTTTTATCATAAACAATTAGTAATGGTTTTGCAAATCTCTGTCAGCATTAGCGACAGACTTGCTGTTTGCCTGTTACAATAGTTTGGAACATCCTCTTGAATACTAAACTTATATAAGTAAAACAAGTCTTTTCTAGATATGGACAAATTCAAGAAATCACTATGAAAATCCAGAACTTGTGGCAATGTGCCATAATCACTTTTGAAGATCAAAAATCAAAAAATAGATTAGTAGCAGAAATGAGTATCCTCATTAAAAAAGACTGTCAGAATCAATAACATAGAATGATCACTCACACAAATAAACTTTTCACTCAACACAACAGCATGGGATCTCAAGAATATTCTCACACAAAGCAAGAGACATACATGCTACATTCCAAGATCAGCAAACAGGTGGTACAAATTTAAAAAATTTGTAGTTATTAGTTTCAAAATACAAGAAGAACTCATCAAAACTGTAGAAACACAATACACCCTGGAAAAAACCACATTTACCTTCACCCCTATTTAAGGATGGATCCCTAAACTATTTAGCATATAAAATTTTGCAGATCAATTATGTTCCTTTTGAAGGAACATAATTATTTATTCATTACTTTAATAGGAACATAATTCAAAAAACACTTGGATCAAGTGTCCTAAATTGCAAAAAACCTTTGTAGATAGTTTTTTTTTGACCTTATATTTAAAAAAAAACTTTTTTTAATAGTAAGGGACATTTGAATTATATTCTCACCTTTAATTTAGAAACCCATCTTTACCCCTATTACTACTAAACTATGCACAATTTGTGACACAGCTTCATATCTAGCCAAGGATTGCCCAACAAAAAAAAAGAAAAATACAATAGGACAACTACAATAAAACCCAAGCCTCAAGATTCTAATCACTCTACAATAGATTCAAACTAGAGAAAACTGATACTATAAGAAATATCAATAATCACGAAACACAAGAGCAGCAATATACACAGGAGTAGCTGCTCAAGCATTAAGATATAAACTAAGAGAACCAATCACCTTTTCAGATATCACCAATATCTTCAAAGACATCTAACAAGAACTGAACACAATCATAAACCAAATTTCAAGCTTAGATAAGCATATAATTAATCTGAAATACTATAATGAAGAATATTATGAAACTATAGACAGTAATCAACTATCAAAAGAGCAAGACACAACAATCCCACCAGAAGAAAAAAACACACCTCATAACAGAAAACAACCTAAATAATCTCTAACACAACTTTTTTTCTCAATCGATGGCATTCAAAACAAAATAAATCAGATTTTCTTTACAATGGATACACTAATACAGATAACAATTCAGCACACTACTATAAACAATAAAAATGAAAAGTTCCATCAGTAATAACAACACACAAAAGATTGAGATCAACAATCAGAGGAACACCAAGATAGTAGAACAACTATTAATATAAACAACATCACAATCCTTTCTTAACAAATTGACACAATCTTTATCTGGTCTGACACAAACTTCAATCCAAGCATTGACAAGTAAAACACCAATACTAACTATACAACAATATCTACAGGCATACAAACTAATACAACCACAACAATAAAAACAATACCATCATTAGGATTTTAAACTCTCTCCTAATCGCATCAAAACTACCAAATTAGGAAATATCAAGAAAACAAAAATTTCGTCTCAAGAAAAAAACAAGGAGGAGGGAGGCCCTCCTCCCAAACCTCCCAACCCAAACCATGAGTACACTCTTCTCGACATAGTCCTCACTGATAATAAACCAA